TCGTGAATAATCTGGGACAAGCCCATGGCTGCCATGGTGGCCGTGAACTCCCAAGCTGCCTCTGAGGCACACCCAAGGGATGGCACATTGAAGTCCCCCAAGAACATAAACCTGGGGAACTCCACCGCCAGCCCCGTGATGGTTTCCAGTAGCTCAGGTAGGGAAGTCGCTATGCAGCAGGGAGGCCCAACAGTTCTCATGAGCCAGGCAGCAGGATGAGGAAATGGCTGGGGAAGAGTCTGGCCAAATCCCTTTTCTTGTACTGCTCTGGGATTCAAGTAGGCATCTACATCATTAGAATTTTACATAGGATTTTCAGTCAGTTTTTATTATGGTGTATTATTGATTTTATTTTATTTATTTAACAAATTAAAATGGCCTCCCAACTCACACACACTGATTCTGGGCAGCTTACAAAGTAAAATCCCTAATACAAACCCATCAACACCCACCCCCTGCAGCAGCCAAAAACACAATTGACACAGCCACTTGGTCAGCTCCTTTTCAGCTTGGGTCTCCAGACCCGCTGGCGAAACTCTGTCTTCAGGGCCTTCTGAAACAACATCAGGGGCCAATCTTAATTCAGAGGGAATAACATTCCACAGGGAAGAGGTCACCACGGAATAGTGGTCCAACTCTTTTATAGTCCTGTTCATTGATTGAAGAAATGTTTATCCAGCATAGTGATCTCATTGCTCCAGTAAGAATCTGCTTGCATTCCTGAGCACTATATCCTATAATAGATGAAGACTGATTCTGTTGGGCAGGGAGCTCAGAGAAGAAAGCTTAGATATCATGGTGACCATAAACATAAGAGTTGATTCTCTACCGTGGAAGTGGTTATTCTGGAGTATCGGACCAGAATTAAAGGGGGAATAAGACTGGTTTCTCTGGCTAGTTATATCTTGTTCAGCCGTATTAGTGTACCCCAAGGTTGCAGTAAAGTTAAATGAAAGGCAAAATGGAGAAAGTTGTTAATGGCAGAATGCAAAAAATTGTATCTTTTAAGATGGGTAGTTAGGTAAAGAGAAATGCCTATCATAGAAAGAGATGAAGAGGGTTTTCCAGCCTGTGAGACTTGCTAACTCTAGGTGGTGGTTCTACTAGCCCCTGTGATGGAAGATATGAGCGGGGAGGTCCAAGGTGATAGGGAAGGGGAGAGGAATCCCAAGTGTCTCCTTAGCCCTCAGCCAGAGCATGTGAAAGTGAAGAGAAGGAGACTGGTACCACCCTAAGGAATTCAGAGTGTTTAGTTGCTGTCGGTGGGGGTTAGAGATAGTCTGGCAAGATTCTGTCTACTAGGTGTACAGTAAGCTAATAAAGTAACTAAACTGTTCCTGGATTTGTCTCGCTGTGGTTCTTGGGCTGAACCTGACAGGACCAGCCCTAAAGATCAGCCATTGGGAGTAGAGATAGTGTGGAGGGGAAGAAGAGCATTTAGGGAGGGGACAGAGAGAGCTTGCCCAGGAACTTGCAGAAGACCTGACTTTTGTTGTTTTGAGGAATCTGACTTGAACTTAGGAAGGTGCCTCATTTGTACCAAAACAAGGTAGGGATGAATTCTTATCTTCTCACTAACTAGTGAAAAATTGTTCAGTTGTCTGAGCAATTACAAACTTTAGCATCAAGAAATAAGTTTGGCAAGTAGAAGCAAGTCAACCATTCTTGAACTGTCCCTTGAGGGAATCAACAAACTCTTTGCCTGGAATTACACCTATGGTCACACAAATTTATTTCTCCAGCTGCACATCTGCGATCAAGTCACATCACAATGATTCCTTCTCCCTTTATAATTATCATAATCATGGTGATTTATTCTATTTCCACCAAAGCCTATGGGATATCTTCCCTTCTCTCCACCCACCCCACTCCTGGTCATCTTTGAAACCAAGGTAACAAATCCTTAGAAATTTCTCATCAACTAAACTTGGCAAATATTTGGTAGCTCTTCATATAAAAACCTTCAAAATACCTCCAGCTCTATGGAGAGTATATGGTAGTGTTCTTGCAGGCACAGACTGTGCAGGTCTGAAATGTAATGCTGCCCCTTTAATGTGCCTGGCCGCATCTCCCTTGATAGAGTCAGTGTGGCTGTGTTCGTGGGTGAGAGAACTGTCTTCTCCTTAGACAGCTATGAGATGAAAGACGGTGGCGCCTGTCTCAGAGAACCATACCCGATCTCCATCATGATAGCTCAAATGCTGTTGCTGCTTCTTCTCCTGGTGTCCCATTTTCCTTATACGATGTTGATGATCAATTGTCCATTCAGTGTGTTAGAAGAGAAGTTTATTTTTAATCACTACAAACCAGGGGATTTGCTGATTAGTGGAATCATATCTATATCTTTACATGATCTTAAACCATTCATTTTCATCATGCCTCCAAACGAAACATTTGTAAGGTATGTCATTTTATCCTTTCTATTGTCTTCTTTTCAGCAGAGAACGATTCCCATTTCTGATTACAGATGCCAACACAATCCATCTGGACTCAGGAAACAGACAAAAGGGACAACAAGAATGGCTTAGCGAAGGAAGGAATCCACCCTGGTTAATATATTTGCAAATAACTGGAAAAATAAAACATGATCTTAAAGAAGAAGGAGGGACCTTGAGAAAGATGACAGAATTTGAAAGACTCATACAGAATCAAGATAATTCATTAGGATGTATTTACAAATGGTTCATTAAATATGACACAGTGACAGAAAAAATTCTTCCAAATTAGGACGACGCCTCTTGGATCATTCTTATTCTTATTCTTATTCTTATTCTTATTCTTTCCAAGAGGACTTCCAGAGAAAACAGAATTTCCATTGGTATTTGATTTTCTTGTGTCTTGAAACTCCTATGAGAAATGCACATTCTTT